GCCAGGACGGCCTCTCGGCGGCTCTGCGCGCTCCTCAGCCAGCGCGGCGGGGCCGGAGCCGAGCAGACCCGCTGGGCCGCGGTACTGACCGCGGCGGGGCGGCCCAGGGAGGGCGCTGGGAACGCGGTCTGCGTTGGGCGGCTCCGAACTCCCCTTTCAGAACTCAGGAGTAGCTGCAGACGAGGGAACGTGTGGCTGGAAAGTCGATACAGGCTCGGAAGAAAGCGTGGAAGTGTTTCCGAATTTATTTAGTTATATTATTTTTGAGTCAGGGTCTTGCTATGTAGTTAAGGCCGGCGGCGAACTCACAGGCGATCCTCCTGCCGCAGCCTCCCAAGTATTGGAATTGCAGGAGTAAGCCACCACGCCGGACTAGAATTTATTGCTATCCTTCTTGAGATAGGGTCTCCTTCGTAGGTTCAGGCTGTCCTTCAACTGTGGAGCCCAGGCTGGCCTTAAACTCGCTGTGATCCTCCTGCATCAGCCTCTCCAGTGCTGGAACCACCACACCCGGCCTCTTTGAAGAATTTAGAATATTAGGTGCTGTGATGAAACTGACCTTTAAAATCCATGCCCACGTTTAACTTTCCTTCAGACTGGCAATCATTGACTTTATTATTGTTTTCTTTAACTGTTGCTTGGTGATAAATACCTGCTTTAGCGATGCCTTGCCTTGTAAGCTGCTGTGGGAGAGGGGAGGGGGAGCATCCTCCCAGGCCTGCTTCTTGCCTCCTCCTCCCTTCCCATTCTAACCCTGAGATTCAGCTCAAGTTAGAGTTTCTGTGACAGAGTAGATCAAACTTGGAGGTGTACTCAGCCCACTTCATTTCTAGATGTTTAAATCTTGCATAGCTTTTGAGACTCAGCTCAGAACTTCCTCTGATCACCTGGACAGAAAAGAGAATTTCATAGCTGAACTTTACTCCTTTCTTCCATTCAGATGCCTTTTCTCTTTCTTTTTCTGTGTGAGGCCCTGGGGGCTGAACTCGGGGTTGTTGTCCCTAACTGAGCTGCATCCCTAACCATTTGTCTGTTTTCTTTCTTTTGAAACAGTTACCTGAGTGGGCAATAATGTCGCAGTCTATCCACTGCTAGTGCTGAGTGAAATGTTTGTTTTACTTTCCTGGTTTTATTCTAGTTGGTAGATCTTAAAGCTGAGCTCTTCCAAAAACAAGAAGAATTCAAACAAGAAAAACTTCCGAAAGATTCTGGAGTTTTGGGAAAACCAAAGACAGCTAATAAGGTAAAAATATGATCTGCTTGTCCCCATTGTGTCCATATGGGTGAAATTTCCACGCTTATGCTTGGAAAGTGTCAGTAGTGTCTGTTCATGCCAGTGATAAGGAAAAAGCCCCTGTCTGGTATTTGGGTGCCTGCATGAAACGTGTTAAATATCAAAGCACGAACTAGTATGATTATTTAAAAGCATATCACAATACTGTTTTGCGAAAAGGTGATTTTTTTTTTTTTTTTTTTTTTTTTTTTTGAGACAGGGGCTTGCTATATCACTCAGGCTGATCTTGAATTCAGTATGTATCCCAAGCTGGCCTCAAACTTGTGGCAGTCCTCCTACCTCAGCCTCCCAAATGCTGGGATTGCAGGCATGTACCACCATGCTAGGCAAGACATGATATTAATACATCTGTGGAACATTATCTATTATGTAGATGCTCTGTATACAAAAAGAGATAACAAAACAAGCAGGCCCTTTAAGGGTTATAAAATGGTTTTCTAATTTTATAAGTCATGGTCTCTGTTACTTGTATTACTAATTCTTTGTAATTGTGCATTTTCTTTAGGGCCTTGAATTAGGTTGTGATCATTCAGGAAGTTCAGTAGGTCTGTGAAGTGGTCTAGAGAAATTCATTTACCACAGTTCACAGTCAGGGCTTTTCTGGTCCAGTGACCCTGCAGATGGTCAGTATCTGCCGAACACAGTTAGCTGTTGGAAGCAGAAGTTATCCCACCGGTCCTGAGATCCAGTGATATCCTCCTCCTTCTGGTAGAGATTACCTTGCAATGCTGTGGTCTTTCTCTCGTCTCTTTGAATTGTTTTCCAGAAACCAAGTATCTGGAGTAAGCAGAATGCAGGGGTTTCAAATAGAGCTGAGAAGGATGCGGAGCAGAAGCTTGAGGAGCTGAAGACTTTAGACAAAGCAAGGTATGACTAAGCTCTGTCTGTGACCACCTGTGCCAAGGAATGAGCTTTCAGGTTTTACTTGTTTTGATTTACAAAATTTGATGTCCAGCACCAGTTCATCCAGGTGTTACGTAAACATAAATACAGTTTCCCTGATGTCTGAGAGGCATGGCCCCCAAGACCCTCTTCCTACAGGTAAAACCAGGAATGCTCGCATTCGTTGTGTGCCAAGATGTAGCACACAATCTACGCACTGTTCAGGAGCTTCAGTCCTCTCAACAAGTTGGTGTTGATGTTGTGTGACTGCTCTGTAAGTGGCTGTGTGCTGTAGTGTTAGGGAATAATGACAAGAAAATGGTCTGTACGAATTTGCTATAGATATGACTATTGGCAGCCTAACTGAATAGTACAGGTCAGCTGCTATGCAGTGTTTTGTGTGTACTTAAATAAAGTTTATTGGTATATTTTAGGTATTCACAGTGATTGCATCGGTGACAAGGAATTTGGATCTGCACACGATGTATTTTGATTCTTCCTTTTTTGCTCATTCCCCTTGCCTCCCTTCAACCCCTCTTTCCTCCATTTGCAAAAGCTTTGTTTTGTTTTCTTTTCTACTTTTTTTCTTTTGCCTTTCTTCCCCTCTCCCTACTCGCCTTTTCTGTTTGAACATTTTCTTCCTATTTCACAATGCCCTTTATCCATTTTGGTCCTTATTTACACTTTGGGTCTCTCACACCAGAGAAACAATGCAGTGTTTACACGTGTGTGTCCAGTCTCTTTCACTTTAGGGTATGGTCTCCTGGTGCTATGCAACATTCTTGCAGATGTCTTTGTTCTGCAGTTAGGGGCCCTGGGAGGTGGACTGTGGCTAAGGAGGCCAGCTGTCCTCCACCACACTATAATTTATGAGTCAGCTTTTGTCTCCTGAAGACACTGAGTCATGCCTTGAGGTTTTATTAGTCCTTAATGCTATCAACAGTGTGTTGGGGTATCTTTGTGCTTTTTGGCAGTTGTGTGGGGATGGAAGCCAAGGCATACTGCCCACACCCCTACCCCTGGTGTTCCCAGGCATGCTTCTGGGTAAGGGATAGGACTTTAATACTTAGGCACTTAAAGTTTTTTCCCCAACTTAACAGAATGAGTGAAAAAAGGTGAAAGAAGGATGCAGTGAGTGTTCCGTCCTCTCACTACGTTTGTCAGCTAACATCTTTCATACTGACTTTGTCTCTCCTTTCTCTTTTCCCTCGCTCTCTTTCTCCCTCTCTCTTCCTTCATAAAAGCTGCCCTTGCAGAGTGTGATGCTGTTGGAGCAACATAGGTGAGCGATGGCAAGGGCCTCCTGAGGAGAGGAAGAGGAGGAGGTGACAGGGCTGTGTGGGTCTGGTCTTACCACAGCTTGTACAGGCAGGGCCTTTGTGTTCTCCTTCTGTCTGTGCTAACCAGTGCTCAGAAAGCTTAGGTAACTTCTCGCAGCCTCTGGACGCCATTGGAAGTGAAATTGCCTAGCCAGGTGTGGTCACCCAGGCTGCGATCCAAGCACCTGGGAATCTAAGTCAGGAAAATTGCAAGTTTGACCTCAACCTGGGCAACTGAGCAAGACTCTGTCTCAAAATTGAAAAATAAAGAAAGGCTGGGGATACAGCTCAGAGTGAAGATCCTGGATTAAATTCCCAGTACTGCAGAAAAGGAAAGAAAGGGGAAAAAGAAAAGAAGTTAGGAACTTCCCTTCTGTGAGTTTGTGTCACTTTCCCAAGAGGATGCCCAGGAGGGACATCCTCTGAGTATTTCTGCTGTAAAGAATCACTGGCCCTCTTACCTAGTCTGTGACCGCAGAAAAGAAAAGTCACCAGAGTTAATAGCAGAGGCCACTTTGTTGAAGCACCAGTTGGTTTCTGTTTTTTAGCATTGTGCGCTAAATACATTATCCCTCCTCTCTTTAAAATAGACATTGTAGTATTTGTAAAGGACATGTCAGAAGTTGATCTCTAAGTCTCTGAGAGAAGACTGATAAGCCTTAGTTCACCGATGGCTGAAAGCAGTGATGCCAAGTGTGCCTGGAATTTGGTGACTCTGCTCCCAAGTTGCTGTGGCAGTGTTTGTATTTAAAGACATGGCTCTCTTCGGTTGTGACTGGAATTGTAATTTGTTTCACTCCTTGGTCAAATACCCAGCAGCCATTATGCCGCTGGTGTGGCTTCAGTCCAGGATTTGGTGACCAGTGACATGCAAGAGAGCCCAGTGCTGCCTCACCTGCCTCCTTGGTTCTTTGGCAGAGCTGCTTGTGGGCTCATCAGAGCAGACAGCAGCTGCGAGACCAAAGTGGCTGCCAGCGTGCCACATGGGACAGTTGTAAGACCACTTGTGATATCTGTCTTTTTCTCTCTTAGGGAAAAATTGGAAGAAAAGGCCAAATTATATAAAAAATGACTAAAGGTGACTTTCTAAGTAAATACAATTTATATTCCTTTATCTTCCATAATTCAGGCAGATCTTTGACATCATGAAGATAACTAAGAAATTTAGAAGGTCAGATCAAAATCTTCCTGCCTTTGGCTGCATAGACAGGAAACCTCAGACTAATGGTGCAAGCTCAGGGACAGGTGCGGAGGAGGGACAGGCATTGGATGAGTCTGTGCCTCTGGCCTTGGCACAGTGGCAGGGGCAAGGAGGAGGCTGGCTGGTCTACAGTCACAGTCACAGTCCTCTCTCCTGTGCTGTGAGATGACACAGCCGTTCAGTGTCAGGCAGCACGGTGCTGAGCCCACACCGCAGAATTGGGACAGGACAGCATCTGTCTTGTCACCCGAGCTGGACCCCAGACTCTGTCCTGAGCGTGTGACCACCTTTCTACTCTGGCCTGCCGCACAGCTAGGTGTGAGGAGCTCGGGATTGACCAGGGTGCTGGCGTTATCTTTCCTTTCTGTTTCTCCCATTTTTGGCCTTGTTTCTGTGACGGGCTTGTAATTGCTCTACAGTTGTGATACTAAACCTCCCTTTCCTCAGACACCCCAGAAAAAGAAACCCTGTTCACAGTGAGATAAGGAGAGACAGAGGCAGCACGTGTTCCAGGAAATCCTCTGGGATCCCGGAGAGTTCTGCCGCAGGGTCTGGAGCTGGGAGCTGGAGGAAGGACCTTGCTGGGAAAGCAGGGAGCCCTATAGGGGAAGGACAGGGCAGACCTCGGCTGGAGCCAGGAGCAGCTGTGCACCTTCCTGCAGCCCATGTGCCTGGTGCTGCTGTTCTGTATTTCTTCCTCTCACAGGCATTTTATCACTGGGTTGGGTTTTTTTTTTTCCCTAATTCAGGGTCTACTTGCATTGGTGACATGGAAGCCAGGTGCAGAGGGGTATGGGCATGGGGTTCTGGCCCACAAGCCATCTGTTGATAGGTACTGGGTCATATGTCTTGGGCAGGGCAGGTTTTGGTGTCACGGCTGTTGCTCGTTGCTTCTGTGCATGGGGTGACACTGCCACCTGTCATGGGAGCCTCATACTGTATCTGAACACTTAGTTGTTGTTCTTGAACAGGAACCTGGTGTGAGTCCAGCGCAGAACCTCACCCACATTGCCTTGCAAGTGTGGCTGTCCCGGGCTACTGTGTCACTCATGGATTTCAGCTCTTGGGAGGGCGTGGAGGTATCAGCACCCTGGGGCAGATAGCAACTCATACAGCCCTGTGCCCTGCAGTGCTGACTCCAGGCTGTGTTGGGACGTGAGGCCGCTTGGCTTAAAAAGAACTCTGTGGCCTTTACTCTGCCTCCTGTGCTGCAGTAACAGGCTCCTGTGCAGAAACGGGAGTCACACCACAGCCAAGAAGGGCCACCGTCCTCCTCAGGTGACAGGACAGCTGCTGTCCTGCCTGCTTCTGCAGCATGGCATTAGCTGTGTGTGACTGTGTTGTCAGCAGTGCCAAGGTAGCCCTGCTCACCTGGATCCTGGCACAAGCAAGGCATGGGGAGGTTTCCTTGGGGTTTTCTGTGTTCCCAGATTCTCCTTGAGCCTGTCCTGCTCTGTTCACTGCAGTTCCCTGCTGTACACTGAGGTCAGTTTTTGTGTCCTAGATGAAGAAGTGGAGGATATGTACCTTGTGGACTTCACCCAGAAGATCATAGACAAACGCTGAGAGATGGAGGCACTGGGCACCAGCAGAGAGCCCCAGAAAGCGGGCAACAGGGATGAAGATGACGATGCTCCTGGTGCGGATGTACCCCCTCCCCAAAACCCCGGCGAAGAGTGGTGGGTACACTTGGGCAGCCTGGGCAGTGATGCTTTTAGCTGTCACCAGCCTTTTTCCTCAGTCCCCTGCATTTCTAGGCTGCTGAGAGCCCTGGTGGTTGGGCTAGGCTGGTCACTGCAGGTGTCAAATCCAGCAAAGAGAAAGCCACACGAATGACAAATGACCCTACCTTGTGCCAGGCCCAGACACTGGGTGATGGTGTTCTGCCTGTTGTTCTGCAGGAGCTTCAGCCTCACTCATAGCATGACATAGACCTCATGGGGAGTTGCTTTGTTTCCAGCAGAGGGAGCGCAGAGTGAGCATGAACTCCTCCTGTGGCAGAGCCTCTTTCTGGCAATGAGGCACAGAGTCGTGAGCCTTGGACAGCCCCAGTTGTGCCTCTGCCTGTGTGACCTCGAGGCTGATTTCTTCCCCTGTAGAGCTGATAATGCCTGGGTCCCTGGTCCTTTGCCTCAGTCTCCTCCAGGATGTAGGGTAGGCTGGGCTTTGGTCAGCCTTGTCTCTGAAGACTGCCTGCATTCTGCTCAGACAGGGTGAAGGGTGAGGAACCATGCCAGTCTTTCTATATAGAGACACAGGAGCCTGGGATCTTATAACCATGTGCTGACATCTCTGCCAGTGATAGTGTCACTCCAACACATGGCAGTGAAACCAGACTCAGAGATGTACTCCTAGGCCTCACAATGCTCGCCCGCTGCAGGACTCAGGTGTCCAGATGGTGGGCAGTGCTGCAGCTCTTGGTGGTCTTAAAGGTGTCCTTATCAGTTCACCAGTACCCTTGTCCTTGAAATGAGGCCGGTGTCTTCCTGCTTCTAGAAGCATCTGAGCAGTAAGGGACGATTTAGGTATATAGCCGTGTGTTATAAAGACCAAAGACAAGAGCACCAGTCTGCTTGCCTTCACTCATCAGTGAACTTCGGGACACTCTGTGCTTCCTGCTTTCAGTTCCTACCTTGTATTTCTCATAGACACAGGTTAGGCCTCCTGGCCAGGAAAAAACCTGAGCCAGGCTTTGGTGGCCTGTGTCACATTAGTGTCCCCAGGAATGTGCCTTGGCTTCCTTGAGCCTCTGAGGTGGTTGGGACTCTGGCCACCTCTGGGCTCCCGGTGATCCAGGCCTGTCCCAGTGGCAGGGTAGGCTGGAAAAGGAAGGGGAGCAGCAAGCATTGGCTGCAGGTGGCTGCGCTGTCTCCCATCTCTGTTGAGCAGGGATCTGCATATTTGGGAGGCCAACTTCAGAGCAGAGGGGGCTGCAATTGCTTTTCACAGCAGAAATCTTAATCCCTTTTCAGAGGCTTGGTGTCTTTTTAAGTTGTTGCTTGTTAATGGCTGTATGATTACCAGCAGTGTGCCAACCATGTGAGGAGTTTGGGGGCGGCTAGAGGTGTCACTGCTGCCATATGGTGAAGGAAGACGGACTGCAAGCAGTTTTGACACTTTTTGTGTTTTTAAATTAAGCTCCAGAATTGTAACTGCTAGTAAAATCCTTTCAGTAGTTCAGTCCCAGGGGGTGGAAAAATCTTCCAACAAAAATACTATAAATAATTACGCAGACCATCTGGCTTGTTGCTTTTGTCCCCATTCATTTAAAAAAGAAAGAAGCTGTTTTCTGCTGTTAGAGGTTTTATTTCTTGTGTTAATCAGCTGTCAGATGATAGTAGTGGGCTCCCAGATGTTCAGAGTTTAAATCATGGGCCAACAAATAGAATCAGTGTTGCTTGAAAAGAAAGGAATTGTCAGATAAAAGAAAGCCCTCAGGCCAGGCATGGCGGGTACACCTGTGATCCCAGTGCTTGGAGGCTGAAGCAGGAGGATTGTTTTTTGTTCAAGTCCAGCCTGGGCTACAGAGTGAGTTCAGGACCAGCCTGAACTACACAGCAAGAGCTTGCCTCCTACAGACAAACAAAAAAACATGAAGCCCTCAGGGCAGCAGCAGATCCTGAGTCAGCCCCCAGTT